TTGCTTGCTTGCTTGAGTGATGTGCATTTGTAGCCTGCACGCCGGCTACGGAAACGATGGGCAAGCATTTAGTGAACGGCCCGTCGTCCATAGCCATTGGCTCAGTGGTGCTCACAGCGCCCCAGGCCCAGGCAGAGCACAGTCTTTGCCTGCTGTACCGTAGTTCGGTTCAGACTGAGCTTCACAAACAGTTCATCGTCTGCTTCGATCTCGTAAATTCTATTCCATTCTTGGGGTGGTTTGCTACAACACAGTTGACGTGCGACATACGACACCCGTGGACTTCAATGGCGAATGCGGCTCAATCGGCAGCTGCAGCGGCGCCGGGGTCTAGGGGCCAAGCATTGGTTGCAGCGCCGATCGACGATAGCGTGATGGACCAGGAGGCCATGATACAGGAGCAGGCGATGGCACAAGAAGAGGAGGCCGCCCGCAACAAGCGCATGCGCGCCGCGGACCCCAGACAGTCGCCTTTCTCGGACTCCATCGAAGAGGTGATCAATCAAGGCAAAGTTCCGAAGGAAATCAGAGACAAGGTCAAGACTCCCACCACCTCTATCAAACAAAAGATCAAGAAATTCGACAACCTGCAGAGCAAGACGTTGAAGATCAGGGACCAGGTCCAGCAGCTGGAGGAAGGCTCCTGGCCGGTGGAAGTGAAGAAGTTCGCCCCGCAGGTGGAGGTCCCTGAGTTGGAGGACAACGCGCCTGCCCAGCTCATGGAAGCCCTACGACCACTCCTTCCTAGGGATCACGTGGGCCCGATGACAATCAGGACGGCCAAGAACATTCTCTATGACAACTCGGTCTTAATCAACAAGCGCCTCGATCACGCCATGCTCGAGTCTCAGGTGGCCACAGCGTCATCGGCCATCAGCTTTGACGGCTTCATCCAGGAGGCAATCGGCATCTCGAATGCGAGGAGCACCGCTATCGAGAACCTCGGACTCCCAGCAGCAGCACTACCACCAGGTCTCTTCGATGATGAAGTACGTTTGGCGAAGCAGGAAGCAGTGTCACTATACCGGGCACTGCTCAGGTCCATTGCGGAAGAAAAGACCAAAGCCAAAGCCATGGAGGACGCCAAAGCGAGCAGAAGAATATGAGAATGACGACGCTGATAACTTCGACTCCATCGATACGATTTGCTGCAGCTGTACGCCAAGTGATGTCGGGCAAAAACTCCGCCGTGGACTGGGCAGCCTACCATACGGGTGCCGCCCCGGAGGAGAGCCTGAACATCAACAATGAGGATCCGAAGAACTCCAGCAACACCAAGAGGGTCTCCACCAAGCAGCAACAAGCACAGAGGAAGAAGGACCGAACATCAGCTCCGAGGACAAAAACGACCAAGCCCAGGATCGCCCGCCCACCGGTCCCCAGGGCTCCGACAACCCCAAGGGCAAGGGCAAGGCCAAGGGCGACCCCAAAGGCAAGGGCAAGAGCAAGGATCCCCAGACGGACCCCAAAGGCAAGGGCAAGGGCAAGGAAGCCAAAGGCAAGAAATGAGGAACGAAAGGAGACGGCAGTGGAGGAAAGACCAAAGGCAGAGGAGACAGACGGTAGAGTTCCAGACCAATCTCGATTTTATAAAGCTCATTGACGGCCTAACGTTCGCAGATTTTGATTGGCTCCTGAGTGATGCAATGCACGAGGGCGTCTACATTTTTGATCATGAGGACGCCAGCAGCCGTCATCCCCTTCCAGGGGAGGTCCCATGGCCCATACTGTTTCTCCTTTCGCGGTACCATAGGAAACATAGATTTCCCAGCATGTCTCAACCGAGTCTCCGTGCCATCAGTGGCATGGTTCGGACTATTTGCCAAAAACTTTTGTGGCGTCACCACTTTCGAGATACTCCTTCCCTCCATTCCTTCAGAGTCCCGCCTACAGTCAAGAACATTCAGGACTACCCGCACTCGGTTGATCCAGAGTTTGACTGCATGTTGCGCGCTTTATGCACCCAAATCCACAGACGATGTCGACACGTTCTTCATCGTACCCAGGGCCACACTAAGCAATCAAAGCTCCAGGGGTGATCTGCCTTGCTTTAACCGACAAGGACGGTGGGTTTGCACTTGTGGATCTGACGCGATGAAATCGATCCATTTGTCAGCTCTGAATGGCCACCAGTATGTTGAGATTTCACCATTGTCGGTGCAGTGGAGAGCTAGCTATTACAGAGGAAAGCACAAACATTGTCAAACTCATTGCAGAGCAGGACCCCATCATCGACAAGAATTCGATGCACCAGTCGCTCTCCGGAGGCGTTGGAAAACTATCGTGTAATATGGGCCTGACGGTCAAAACACATAAGCCCTGGGGATGTTACGTACCGTGTGCTACACACCCGTCGCCATCACTCTCTCGGGTGTTTGGGCTATTGGTTATCACATTCGTTACGCAGGTGCATGAAATACAAACGTCACGTCCATAGTAGCACTGAGGACTTAATAGGCATGCTCAACAGGACAGTCTTCGATGAGGACGTCACTCTGGTTCGATACGATGTGATTTTTTTCATGTCAGGGGACCAGGATACTCTCGTGGACAGTGCAGGCAGCGTAGTGGATGACAGTCTGCGCTCTTCGGTACGCTGGGCTGCATCATTCTTGCTAGAGCATCAGTATGTTTGCTCGGAATATTCGGATGGACTGTGGCAAGTCGTCTTGGGATCTGGCATGGGACAACATTTCTCCAGAGAGCTTTCAGATGTTGCCTTTTACAGTGACGTGGAACAGAACAAGGTTGATAACGCGCGGTGGTTGAGAGCCATGGGTATCCGTTTATACGCCAGGTTCAAGGATGACATATTCATGGTAGTTGTCTCGGACCCCACAATCTACCACTCGTGCTACAGGTGGCTCGTCACCGACAGCCAGTCTTGCTTTAAAGTCAAATTGGAGAGGGTATCGCGCTCAAATGTTGATATGTTGGACATTAGCATCTTCAAAGGTCCCAGATATGCCGCGACTGGCAGATTGGACTTTCGGCCGATCTGGAAAAAGACCAGTCTCGGAGCGCCTTTGAGCTTCAGCAGCGTGCATCCCTCCATCATCCATTTGTCATGGCCAGTATCAGAGCTCGGCCGCCTCCACAGGCACTCGTCTAGTGCCACGCTGAGCGCGAAGGCGAGGTCCGTCTTCATTGAGCGGCTGGGCAAGCACGGCGTTCCAGAATGTTATCTCAGCCTCCTCAGGTCCTGGTCCCATAAGAGGTCCCAGGGCCCTCCAAGATCTAGTTCCCGAGATCCCCATAGGCTCTGGATTCGATGCCCGTTCCATCGCGTGTGGGCGAGGTCCGGGTCACGCAAGTTTGCAGGGTTTTTTTCACAATGGATGTAGCCCAGGACACGAGCAGGCGATTTCTAGGATTCGTTCCCGAAATCAGGCTGGCATGGGTTTTGCCTCAAGCACCGCTCGTACAGGCTGTGGCTCGCGCTTCTAAATGCAAGTTTTTAGTTCAGTTCTGGAGGATGGTTGGGTGTGGTGGAAAGCCATGCTTACTTGCTTGAGTGATGTGCATTTATAGCCTGCACGCCGGCTACGGAAACGATTATTGGCTCAGTGGTGCTCACAGCGCCCCAGGCCCAGGCTGAGCACAGTCTTTGCCTGCTGTACCGTAGTTCGGTTCAGACTGAGCTTCACAAACAGTTCATCGTCTGCTTCGATCTCGTCAGTTCTATTCCATTCTTGGGTGGTCCTCGATGGTTCTCGCCGAGAAAAACGCACACGTCCGAGCGATGCCAAGGCACCGCGCTCGCCGATGGAGACATCTGCGTGCCGGTTTCGCCTGGGGGCCCACCGTGCTCCCCGCGCTGCGGGGGCTGCGGCCTGCGGCCCCCCCTGCCGTGCACACCGCAGAGCCGGAGGAGCAGGCCTGGCCCTTCGAAGCTCGTGACTCGGCAGGGGAAACAGTTACTGAACACTCCCCCTCCCCCCAAAACTCGATGTTGGCACGCGCGGGGGAGACTGCGGTCGAAGTGCATCTCATCAGACCCACCGCCGACTTTGAACATTGGGGGGAGGGGGAGGCGGTGACGGATGAGTGTGGCATGTGTTCGCTAATTTGTTCCGAGGCCTGTTTCACCACCCCTTACTGCCAATACTCCTACTACGGCGGTTCTCCTCCTATTCCTGGCACACTCTTGTGAAATCGACCGCGAAGGAAACACAACGACAACATAAACCCAGGCTTCAAGGGTAACCACCCCCTGGAAACAACAACGACAGCTCGGTTAAACCGGCACCCCCACGCTTGCGAAATTTTGACAACGGCCGAAACTCGATTGACTGACCGCACAATCTATCTGGACCAAAACTCAAAACAATGAACAAACCGAACACATAGAATCGACAAAACGTAAACGAAGAAACGGGTTAATTTTGAAAGCATAAGCAAACCTTTGCGATGCAGGGGCGATTTGTTCAAACACAACAATAAACGTGGTCTGGAAACTAAAATTTCGCGTTCAGATCCACTCTGCTTTAGTTTCAATGTTCGCGAACATTAATGGTGTTTCAAACACGCTCCTTTCGCGCAACCGCCGTCGTCTTGCAACCGCCGCGCAAAATTTTACAGTGCTGGGCTGCCCTGAAGGGTTGGACGGTGCCCGCCAACAAAATCGGCAACGAAATCTTGGATCCGGCGGTCACCCGAAGTCCAGCAGCGAATCTCCTTCTCATCTCGCTCTGGCCCCTTCCCCCTGCTTCCGCGTCATCCTGCTGCTTCTTGGAGCCCGTAAGGAGGACCTAACGTACTACAACATATGCCCAAAAAGAAGCCCCCAAGAGGCCCCAAGAGAGGGCCCAACACCACGGAAATGTTTACAGGTCCTGCCCATGCCCCCCCTCCCCCTTGCCTTCCTGACCTCTCTGGGCATTACCTCGCTCTTTATAGTCATCTTGCAAGTCACCCTAATCTCGGGCAGCCCGTCCCATTCAGACTGCACTTGCCCCGTCTACCCGTGGGGGTCGGCAAGGTGGCGTAAGCTTCTTGACTTCAGGCATGACTTGGACTCCGTGTCTGCATCATTCTCGATCAGAGTCTGCACCTGCTCCACATCCTTTGCAAAGTAAAGGATCGGAGCCCGGAGCACCGCCTGGTGTATTCCGAGTGGATGAAGAGACTGGAGTGCCTCAGGATCTGCGCCATGCTCCAGTAGTTCATCCAAAACCTGGTGAGGAACTTTGGCTCTCATTGCGAAATAAAGCAGCGTACCCTCAGTGTGTATGGTTCGACCGTCGAGATCAAGGTCCTTGGCCCTGCGCCGCTGGTTCACAAGACGCCTCACGTAGGGGTCAGGAACCTTTCGTGACGGCCACTCACCATTGGGCTTTTGTTCAAGCCTGTTGTCAGGGTCAGCCAACTGATTAAGCTTTGCTCGTAATTCCTGCCTCATCTCCGCAGTTTTGTCCCCGAATTTGGTCACCAATTGCATCACCATGTCCCATACCTGAGTTGCTTCTCTCTCGTCCACTGGCCTGTCAACATTCAACTGCACGAAATGGTATTGATTCTTCGACATGTCATAGTCATTTGCTGCATGCTTCGATGTCTGTTCCCCGCCATCCGCGTGAATGGCGTGTAATCGAAGCAGATCTCCTGGGTCAGGAAACCGCGGATCGGGAGGCCTCTCAAGCCGCCATCTCCGCATCAACTGCGAACCTCTCTCTTCGATCGCCTGCAGCACTGACTGCACGACCAGCTCAGCAGCAGCGGAACGGTACAATTCATCCATTTTTCCTTTGGCAACCGTGCGCCCCTCTTTAACATCCTGCGGCAGGCCGCTTCTCTGCGCCGCCAGCTCGCTCAGCAGCTCACTCAGCAGCCTCTCCTTCCACTGGTTGACCACGTCGAAGTCTCGAGAGCCCGCCTGGAGCGGGGGCGTCCAAGTCTGAGTTCCGGTGGCGCCGGTGGGGCCGTGAGCACCGTGATCACGCCTGGTGTAGCGAGGAAGGTCGAACCTGACGTCGATGCTCAGAAGCCTTGGGTAAACTCCTTTTTTGATGACTTTGTCGCCTCGATCCGCAATCCACTCGTGCCTCTCGAACTCCAGTGTCACCTCGACTGCACCCCACTCGTCCCTCCACTTCTCAACGCAGACCTCATTCTGCCTGGTCTCGGTGTGCTTCTGGTGCGTAGTCATGCTCTTGTTCCCTTTGGTCTTCTGAGCCGTTGAGGTGCTAGTAAGCAAACTGTCGACGTCGAGCTCTTCCTTGAGCCGTAATCTGACAAGGTCTGGAAACTGCAGAAGAAGCCGCTTGACTTCCACATCGAAGCAGTCTGCAGGCTCGTTCTTAACCGCATTAATCAATACCTTAAGCTCTGATCCTGTCACCTTGAAGATCTTTCTAAGTCGATTGTCCGAGGGTGGGACTTTCTTGAATTCAACTTTGTTGCCCAATTCCTTCTCGATATCATCTTTCAGAACGCGGTGAATCATTTTTCTTCGCTTCGCAAACTGCGAATCCGTGTCTGGCGCAAACAGCTCGGGATCGTCCTTGTCTTCCTCCAGGCTTCCACCAGTCAAGGACGGTGCCCTGATGCCGCGGCTCTTGCTCCGCTCGAGGAGCCCCCTCTTGTCCTTGAGGTCCAACGCCTCGGCCAGGATGCCGATGATCGTCTGGCTTCGCAGCATGTCGCCGCGCACGTCCTTGTCCTGAAGCTGCTCTGGACGTAGAGGAAGAAAAAAGGCACAACCAGAAACTCTCAGAGCTCCGAACGGACGTCTTGGATTGGCGCTAGCCCCCCCCCCTGGTGCGCGGAGCGCGCGAGTGGTGGCGCCGGAGGTGCCGCCAGGGGGGCCTTGGCGCCGATCCAAGAGATCTGCGCGGAGCGCCGAACATCTGTGCTCACAGCCTAGATCATCTAACTCCGCGCATCGCGTGCCGCGAGGCGCGGTCACTTTCACGCCCTCGCGCCGCCGCCCTGGATGGAGAAGGGCGCCCCTTCAACCCAAGCTGGGATGCGCGAAGCGCGACCCTCTTCGCGCGCCCGCGGGTGACCTAGACGAGGCACAAACTCTCGGAGCTCCGCGCGGACTTCTCCGCTTGGCGCCCGGCCCCGCTGGCGCCGCCCAGGGGGGGTGCCCGAGCGCAGACCCGAGAGAGCCGCGCGGAGCGCCGACGAGTTCGTGCTCTCCTGCCGCCGGTTTCTTCCTCGAGATAGGCGCCCATGCAGAACGTCGGCCGCGCCGGCACGTGCGGCCTCGCCGGGCGCGCCCCCTCCCCGCGGTCCGACCCACGGGGGCTCGGCGGCCCCGCTCCGGGCGGCGCCATGCTCGCCTTCGGCGAGGGGCCAAGGCTGCTGGCCAGAGCGGCGCGAGCCGCAGCGGCTCTGGGAGAGAGGGGCTGGAGCGGCAGGGACGACGACGGGGCGGTGGCAACGGTGGTGGCGACCGCGATGATCGTGATGGTGATGATGGTGATGGTGGTGATGACAGTGGTGGTAGTGGTGGTGATGATGGCGGTGGTGATGGTAAGGATGGTGGTGGCGATGGTGGTGATGGTGACGATGATGGTGGTGGTGGTGGTGATGGTGACGCTGACGCTGACCCTGAACCTGACGCCGACGACGACGCCGCCGCCGACGACGACGACGATGATGATGCTGCTGCTGCTGCTGCTGCTACTGATGATGGTTATGGTGATGATGATGATGCTGCTGATGATGGTGATGATGGTGATGGTGATGACGTTGATGGTGATGGTGGTGATGAGCACGCGTTCTTCGGACGCAGCTCTGGCCTCCCACGGGGATGCCGGGGCGGAGGGCGGAGGAGGAGGAGGAGGAGGAGGAGGAGGAGGAGGAGGAGGAGCATTTGGAGGCCTGGACATGGGCACCAACACCAACACAAGGGGTTGCCTCCACAGGGGTGAGATGATCCTGGGTCCTGGTGTTGGTGGCAACACTTCGGCCGCTCAGACAGCCCGAACACTGACACCATCACCGAGATCGGGAGATCTTCCCTCGGTGAAAGCACACCGCCGATCCTGGTGTTGGTGTCAACATCTAGGCCTCCGAAGCATCGCGAGAAATCATGAACCGGAGCCCCAGCCAGAGCCCCCCAACCCTCCGCGGGCCCCGTAGACCTGGACACGCTAGACCTGGACACCCACCCAACATCCCTCGAAACCAATTTTTCCAGACGGCGGCACGAACAAAATACTGCACTGCAAGATTTCCAGAGCAAACCCGGACACAGGCCCTAAAAGCCTGCAAGACCCCCCAAGCCCAGACACAGACCCGAATCCTGCAGTGCAGCAGACCAAAAATTCACGGGTGCCGAAAAGTGTGACTCTGCAGGAAAGGGTGTCTTTCCCTTGGTTTTCCGTGTCCTGGTTTACACTCCGCTCGTTAAGAATAGAATCGGTGAAACTAGGTCTCGGCTCAACTAGATCGGGAATTTCGGTTCCCGACTTCTGCAATTCCGAGCAGCGCCATAGGGGACATACAGTACGTTGTGCTCAGTATTCAGGTCCCGGCTCGGTAAAACTAGACTCGGTAAGAATAGATCTCGGCTAAACTAGGTCGGTTTCTGATATCTAGTTTCAACGAGTGGAGAATATCTGTGTCCTGGTCTCTGGGGGCCTGCGCTGCGGCATGCCCTCGCAAAGCCGGGCGCTGCCGCTCTTTCTCACGCTGGGCGCTCCTCTCGGCCGGCCTCGGGCCTCCCGCCATCACGGGCCTCGGCCCGGCTCGACAGCTGCCCGGCATCCTGGGGCCCAGGGCTCCGGCCGTGATTTTTTGAGGCAAGATAAGGTGCTGGCATTGGATAGGGGAACCTTCCATAGGAGTCCAGGGTCTGGAAGCCAGTGGAAAGCCCATCGTGGATGGGCCACGGATATCACCGCCACCCTCATCAGGTCAGGAGCCCTCCAAGGTCTGAGGCCTCCTGGGCAGGTTCCTGAACGAACGCCTCCACCGTACAACTGTCATGCTCCTCCTCCTCATTCTCCTCCGCGCACGCGGGGGAGGCGGAGGAGGCGGCGGAGGAGGAGGAGGAGGAGGAGGAGGAGGAGGAGGAGGAGGAGGAGGAGGAGGAGGAGGAGGAGGAGGAGGAGGAGGACGAAGAGGGGGGGAGAACGAAGAGGGAGGGGAGGAGGAGGAGGAGGAGGAGGAGGAGGAGGAGGAGGAGGGAGGAGGAGGAGGAGGAGGAGGAGGAGGAGGGAGGAGGAGGAGGAGGAGGAGGAAGAGGAGGAGGAGGAGGAGGAGGAGGAGGAGGAGGAGCAGGGGGCCGAGGAGGAGCTCATCTTTTTTGGTCGGGCCGCACGTCTTCATGAGGGCCCTGGCGCCCTAGGCCGGGGTGCGAGGACTCGGCCGCGAGCGGAGGGATGAGGCGAGAGGGGGCGCGCCTTCTCCGAAGGCCCGGACGCCCCAGGGCCCTCGGAGAAGTCCTCGAAGCCCTCCACGAGGGCACGATGCACGACCGCGGTGCCAAGGGCAGCACTGAGCTGCCGTGGACTGCCCAGGTGGTGCAGCCTCTAGGAGCTGAACAACCAGGAGGCGCGAGGGCTTCCGAGAAGTCCCGCCCTCTGCGGAGGCCTTCTCCTTCTCGCTTCTTCCCCACGCGCCGCTCGACGCTGCAGGGCGCCCGTGGCGAGCGAGAGCTGCGGCGCCCGGACCTCTGGGCGGGCGCCTCGGCCACGCGCGAGGAGGTGGCCCTGGGCGGCACGTGGCCCTTCGGTGCGCGGCCCGCCCGCTGTCGTATGCGGTCCGACAGTAGCGTTCTGTCGGGCCTGTCCCCCGACAGGGGGAATATCCAAAAATAGTCAAACATAACATGGGGACGATTGTTTGGGGTATTGTTTGACCTTCCTTGCACATTGTTGGCGCATTTTCTTACTTTTCGTCTAAGCTCCGCCCGTAGGGGGACAGGCCCGACCTGACAGTAGCGGCCTGCGTGTGCCAGTCTGGCGGCCGCCCCTCTCGTCCCCCTCAACTTCCCCTCGTGCATCCAGGCAGCTCGCAGTGCCGCTCCTCCTCCTCCTCCTCCTCCTCCTCCTCCTCCTCCTCCCCTTCCTCCTCCTCCGCCTCCTCCTCCTCCTCCTCCTCCTCCTCCTCCTCCTTCTCCTCCCCTCCCTCCTCCTCCTCCTCCCTCCTCCTCCTTCCCTTCCCTTCCCTCCTCCTCCTCCTCCCTCCTCCTCCTCCCCTTCCCTTCCTCCTCCTCCTCCTCTTCTTCTTCTTCCTCTTCTTCTTCTTCTTCCTCCTCCTCCTCCTCCTCCTCCTCCTCCGCGTGCGGACTGCCCCTGCCGCGCTGCGGCGCAGGACAAGTTGAGTCTGGCCCCCCCGCGCTCCCCGACGGCCGCGCCACGGAGGCAGGTTCAACGAAGGGCCACTCCTGCGCGTATCGGCTACGCGCAAGAGCGACCCTTCCTCCTCCTCCTCCTCCTCCTCCTCCTCCTCCTCCTCCTCCTCCTCCTCCTCCCCTCCTCCTCCTCCTCTCCTCCCTCCTCCTCCTCCTCCTCCTCCTCCCTCCTCTCCTCCTCCTCCTCCTCCTCCTCCTCCTCCTCCTCCTCCTCCTCTCCTCCCTCCTCCTCCCCTCCTCCTCTCTCCTCCCTCCTCCTCCCTCCTCCTCCTCCTCCTCCTCCCCTCCTCCCTCCTCCCCTCCCCGTCCTCCTCCTCTCCTCCTCCTCCTCTCCCTCCCTCCTCCTCCTCCTTGGTGAGGGTGACCCTCGGTGCGCGGTTTTGAAGGGCCGCGGGGGGAGCGCGCTCGGCGATCGGGGGGCCCCCTCGGGCCCGCACCAGAGGGTCACTCCGGCGAGGGGCCGCTCTTGCGTGCAGTCGACGTGCAGCCGAGAGCCGCCGCGCGCGGAGGTCTCCCGCGGCACCCCGGGGCCCCAGGAGGCCCGCCGCTGGGGGCCGCCCCGCGCGGGCGCACAGCCAGTGGCGGCCGAGTCTGCCCCGCACACGGCCCGCGGTGCGGCCCGCGGACGAGGCTCGTGCCTCCGCCCAGGCGCGGGCGGCCTGCTGTTGAAACCTCCGTGTCTGTGCTGTGCGCCTCGCGGCCCCGTTCGTCGCCCGAGAAACTGGGCGTCCAGCGCTCCACTCCCGCCTTCCTGCTCTTCCCCTCTCTCTTTTTGTTCCTCCCTCCGTGCGCCCATCCACATCTTCAATCACATGTCCCTGCTGGTGCGGCGCGAGTGACGCCAGCACCCGGGGGCATCCCGCCTCTGCAAGAGAGGTGTAGTCACGCATGCTCTGGTGTTAGTGCTTGTGTTTCGCTAAAAAAGCCTGGGCCGAATGTGCGTGCATGTGTACTGATATTGTGTTCTCACCATCCTTGTCCCTTGTCCCCCTCGCTTCTTATTGCTCCTCCCGCTCTCATCCACCCTGCCTTGCTCGCTACCTGCTCCCTGGCCGTTGTCTACTCAGACTACAGCCCAGTGAAGTAGTCAACATATCGTCAAAGACTGTTGGGTAATGATCTGGCCTTGCTCGCTCCTGTCCCTTGGTCCCCGTACATTGCTCTTTCTTCAAAAAGCTGCAACATTTTTTCGCCATGGACTCCTTTGCCCCTCGCCCGCCGATGCCATGTGGGCAACAACAGTGCCATGCAGGTAGTCCTCGTCCGTTTCAGGCTCCGATGGGAGCAGTCAACTATGCCACGCCCTGGTCCCAGGAGGCTCTTCGAAAGCCAAGCAATCGGCATGAGCGAAACAAGCACCAACAGCCACGGGAGGTTCCTCCCGCTCCGCGATGGTGCTTGCCATCGCTCGGACGTCCATTCCCTGTGTATTTTTCGGTTTCGTGCGTATATTTGTCGCACGATGATCCTCGATGGTCCCCGCCGAGAAAAAACGCACACGTCCGAGCGATGCCAAGGATGACCCGGCGAAGTTTGAGGTAGTCGCACTCGTCACCAGCTCCCGCGGCCTCAACTTGCCATCGCTCGGACGTCCATTCCCCGTGCATTTTTCGATTTCGTGCGTGTATTTTTTCGCAAGGTGCCCCGATATGCTCCTCGCGGAAAAAATGCACACGTCCGAGCGATGCCAAGGCTCCCTCGGCCTCAAAGAGATGATGCGTAAAGAGCGTGGCGTGCCCCGGTCTCTCCGCGCCCAAAGAAAATGGGATGTGTTCAAGACTCTCTCGCGGACGAGATCTTTTCCTCGCAAACATCAACATAACTCGATGTTGGCAGGTGGCCCCAAGGACCTGCTCCACGACCCTGTGCCCGACGACCCCCCGGACGCCCTCCCCCACGCTCTTCCTGAATCACCCATTGGCGCCCCCACCCGCGCCTCCCCCAACACCCCTCCCGACGCCCAGCCCGACACCCAATCCGACGCGACACCCGACAACCCCACCCACGCCTTTTCCGACGCTGGTGCCTATGCCAGCGCTAACGTCGACACCCTCGCCGCCACCAACGTCGACACCTTCAACGGCAAGGCCACGCTGGAGGCCACCTCATCGGCACCGAGGTCGAGACATGCACCCTCATCGTCAACGCCAGCACCAGCGCCAGCACTGATATCTCTGACACCTGCAACGTCATCGTCTACTTCTGCATCGATTCCGTGGTCTTCCTCGACGCCCACACCGACGCCCGCATCGACGCCGCCTTCATCATCAGCTCCAGCATCGACACCCACACCAGCTGCCATCTGCTGTGCAGAACCTGGATCGCTGCATACCACGCGACGCCCTGTCCGTCACCCTCAGCCTCTTCGGCCCCACCCTCGAATACGGCATCTTCACCGACCACTGCGGAGGGTCCTTTCACTACGGTGTCGTGCTCTTCGCCTCCGACAGGTCGGCCACAGCAGCACTCGCACACCATGCTCGGCATCCCCTTCGGCCAGAGAAGGGCCACAGTCACAGCATCGGCCTACGCCGAAGCCAGCGCCAAAGCCAACGACAGCACCAACGCCAACAACTACCTCGGCATCAACAACACCAACCCCAACGCTCTCCCTGACGCCCTGCCCGATTCACCACCCAGCGCCTCGCCGGACGACCGAGAGCACCACGACTGCGACCATCAGCAGCATCACCACGACTACGACCGGCAGCGCCGCCAGCAGCAGCACCACAACAGTGACCGCGACCGAAAGGCGGAGGAAAAACCACCCCGAGGCCCAGCCCGATCCCTACCGCCAGACCGACGTTCGCACCCACGTCGTCTCCAGTGCCGAAGCCAAACCCTACGCCAAACCCGACGCCAGCATCCACGTCATCTCCGACTCTTGCGTCGACGCCGAACCCGACACCAAGCCAGGTGACCATCAGGGATGTGAAGGTCATGGCCGAGGAGGTGGAGGCGATCGAGGAGGAGGATCAGCGCCGCCGACACCATCATCGAAGCCAGCAACGACGTCAGCACAGACACCAGCAACGATTCCAGCATCGACGCCAGCACTGACGGAAGCATCAACGCCAGCATCGATGACAATACTCCAGCGTCCAAGTTAGCATCGACACCTGCGCTGACTCCAGCATCGACGCCAACATTGTCCCCGTCACCGACGCCAGCATCGGCGCCAACACCTGATACACCATCGATTCCATCCTCGGAGCAAGAATCGACGTCTGCACCGACACCAGCATTGAGCGCAGCATCGACGCCATCACCGACGCCAGCATCGGCGCCAGCATCGACGTTAGCATCGAAGACAGCACCGATCCCAGCACATGAGCTAGCGTTCACGTCAGCATTGACAACACCACCATCTTGCGTTTTAACGTTTCCCGAGGCCCCATCTGGCGAACGTTTCATGCATCAATCTTTCTTCGAGGCTCCAGCTGGCGACGTCGAGCCTGAGGTGTTCCCTGCACTCCCGCCAGCGTCAAAGACAGCAGTTACTTCAGCATCAGAGCCAGCACCGACGTCAGCACCGACACCAGCATCGATTTTAGCATCGGCGCCAGCCATCACGTCAGCATTGACATTAGCAACAACGACATCATTGACTCAAGCATCGGAGCCAGCATTGACGACACCACCAACACCGGCACCGACTCCAGTACCGAAGCCATCATTGACGCCAGCATCGGCACCAGCACCGAAGGCAGTAGTGGCCCCAGTACCGCAGTCAGCACCGACGTCAGCATCGACTCCAGTACTGACCACAGCATCGACGCCAGCATCAACCCCATTGTCAACGACAGCATCGAAGACGGCACGGGCTCCAGCATCGAGCCAGCATTTACGCCATCACCATTGCCGGCATCGACTCCAGCATCGACGCGAACACCCACGCCAACATCGACCCCCGCATCGACGCTAGCACTGGAGCCAGCACTGGAGCCAGCAGCAACATCAGTATCGAAAGTAGTACTGACTCCAGCATCGAAGGCAGTGTTCACCCTAGCCCCGAAGCCAGCATCGATGTCAGCACCGAGACCAGCACTGACTCCAGCATCGACACCAACATTCATGTTAACATCGATGCCAGCATCGAGACCAACACCGAAGACACCATCGACTCTGGCCCAGGAGCCTGCATTGACGTCCGCATCGACGCCAGCATCGACCCCAGCATCGGCGCCAGCACTGACGGCAACATCGACGCCAGTATCCAGGACAGTATCGACTCCAGCACCAGAGCCCGCATCCACGGCAGCATTAACACCAGCACCGACTCCAGCATCAAAACCAGCCCTCGCGACAGCATCGACGCCAGTATCGAAGACAGGGTTGGCATCAGCATCGAAGCCAGCATCGACGTCAACATCGATACCCACACCGACGCCAACATCGACGACTGCACTGACCCCAGCACCGGCACCTGCATCGGCGACAGCATCGAAAACAGCATCGACCACAGCATCGGTGCCAGCATCGACATCAGCATCGACGCCGGCATCGACCCAGCATCAACACGTCAGCATTGACGCCAGTACTGACAACTGCATCGGTGCCAGCATTGAAGACAGCATCGACCAAGGCACTGGGCATCGACTCCAGTGCCGAAGCCAGCACTAACGCCAGCACCGATCAAGAAGGCCTTGACGAGAGGACCAGAAGCGGGCCGAGCGCAGGGCTCCGTACGAGCAGCCCGACCCCCCCCCACACGTCGCTCCTCCCGACGCCCCTCGCGACACCCCGCCCCCCGACGCCCCCCCCCCCCGACTCCCCCCAGGGCCACCAGCATCCACCACAGGCGGTCCACGTCGGCCACACCGAAGATTACCACGACGGCCACCGACAGTCATCACAGACGGCCACCAACGGCCACGCCGACGGCCACGACGACAACGCCCACAAGCAACCAGAGACGCCCGACGCCCCATTCGACGCCCACCAAGGCGCCGACTCGGTGCCCGACGGCCAGCCCGACGTCCGCTGCGAACGAGCTCCACGACGGCGATCATGAGCACCACCACCAAGACCTCGACCAGCAGCACCACCACCACGACGAGCACCACGACTGCGACCCGCAGCACCGCTATGACTCCGACTAACAGCACGACATCGTGCACCGCGACTGCGACAGCCAGCACCGAGACTCATTACGAGCGCGACCAGCAATACGATCATGACGAGCACCACGAATATAGCCAGCCCGACGACCTGCCGGACGCCCAACCCAAGGCCCAACCCGACGCCCTCCCTTACGCTAAATCCAACTCCCAACGTAATGCACCTCCATATGCCCCCCCCCGACGCCCCATCCCGCGGCCTTTCCTACGACCGGCAGCTGCACGACGTCCACCACAACTGCTACCAACAGTAGCGCCACCACAACTGCGACCAGCAGCACCACCAGCAACGCCAACGCCACCACGAATTCGACTAGCAGCACCGCCGCTACAACGAGCACGATGACTGCGACCAACAGCGTCACCTTGAGTTTGCCCAGCAGCACCACCACACGGACTGCGACCAGCGGCAGCACCACCACGACGCGCACTACGACTGCCACCACCTGCACCATAACCACCACCACGGCCAGCAGCACCACCGCGCACGCGACCAGCAGTACCGCGGCACGCACCTGGACTGCGACCAGCAGCACCACAACCACCACGCCTACGGTCTGCAGCATCACAACCAAGACGAGCACCACGACTGCGACCAGCAGCACCGCCACGACTCCGACCGCCAGCACCACGACTACACGCACGACTGGCAGTTCGACCATGACGAGCACCACGAATACAGCCAGCAGCACCACCACTTTGACCACGATAGGCAGCACCGCGGCCAACCGGACGACCCGACGGACGCCCAACCCAAGGTCCAACCCGACGCCCTCCCCCTACGCCCAATACAACTCCCAACGTAACGCAGCTCCCCACGCCCTCCCCGACCCCCTCCCCCTGCGACCAGCAGCAGAACGACGCCCACCACGACTGCTAGCAACAGCAGCGCCACCACGACTGCGACCAGCAGCGCCACCAGCAGCACCAGCGTCACCACGAATTCGACCAGCAGCACCGCTGTCACAACGAGCACAACGACTGCGACCAACAGCGCCACCATGACTGTGCCCAGCAGCACCACCACCTCAAGGACGGCGACCAGCGGTAACATGACGTACTCCGTGACTGCGACGCCCGGCCCGACGCCCGCGTCCTGCCCCACGCCCTACCCGACGGTCACCCTCACCGCCGCCCGACGACCAACCACCGCCACCTCGACAGCCACCACGACGGTCACCGCCGCGACCACCCACAACCACCCTCGAACGACCAGCGCGACGGCCAACGACGGCCACCCCAGGCGGCCACCAACGGCCACCCCGACGGCCACGACGGCCCATGGAATTGCCACCGACAGACGCCACGGGCGCGCCAGGTGCGCTTCACCACCCAACCGCACGTCATTCCAGACCTCGGCGGCCAGTGACGTCCCAGCGCGCCTACCAACCAATGCCTTGCTATGCCAAGCGCGCCCTGCGGCTCACGGGGGAGCGAACACTCAAGCCAATGCACACCTCTCCGCCTGCACTGGGGCCCTGCGGCGCTTCACTTGCACTGCCGCACCGGCACCGTGCACCCCAGCTTGGCCACCTGCCGCCACCCGCTGCTGCCACACCCACGGCCACGACGGCCACTTGGGCGGCCATCACACGGCGAGTACCCACCAGGGTCACTGCGCCACTTTTGCAGACACAATCCTGGGGCCAGCCTGCCCGCGTCGTTGGGCATGCCTCCGCCTCGCGCCCGCCTCCCCATAGCCCGACGCCCGTACAGTCAACCCGTCTTGTAAGGATGCGCGACAAGGATGCAAGGGCCTTGGAGGCCCATTTCGAAGCGCTTCGAGCGGGGCGCGGCCAACGAAAGTGGCCAAGGCTGGACCGAGGAGGCAAGGATGCAAGGCTACCCTTGGGAACGTTGCCTGGGAGCCCTGCCCTGCACGCTTTCGGCGCGGACGCCCCCTGGGGTGGGCGGGGTCGCCTTCTCCCACGAGGGGAGAAGGGACAGCTGCGGCTGCATCGCCTCCGGGGGCAGCAGCGGGCCCCACCCCCATGGGCCCACCGCCCCCCATGCGCGCCAGGAGGGAGGAGGAGGAGGAGGAGGAGGAGGA